GCCTGAGGTAAAAGGCAAGTCCAAGTGCTGCTGTACTGTGAGCAATGGTTGCTGGCATTTGTGGATTTTCCCTTTTCTTATCAAAATTGTTACATCATGCATGTTCCTTGCAAGTTACTGCCTTTTTTTGTTACTGCTGTTGTCCCAGCAACAGAAATTCCGGGTGTGTGCATTTTCCCATTTGGGTTAGCAACAATAGTGAACTGAAGTGCTGATGACTAGCATGTGTACAGATCATCCTGTATTTTCCAAACGCGTGGTCAGGTTGTTGCAGCTTTGGAGGGAATGAGCAATTTGAAGGAATTTGTATCTAATGTGACTGGGTATGTTTTTAGATTATCTGAAAAATCCCATTTGGGAAAGAGGCTGACCATTCCTTTTTTCTGTCATTAGAATGTTTTGTTTGTTTGTTTGCTTTACGGAAATATTTTTCAAAGATTGAGCATGTGAAAAGTGAAACTGAGGCCTGGTTAAAGGTTTAAACCTGAATTATGTGCTTTTTAGGACAAAATTCTTACTAAGCACTTGCTGCTGATTTTCTAGTGTAGCACGTGGGTCCTTTTGCTGTGGCTTGGATATCAGAGTTAAAACAAAGCAGCCCCCACACAGGCCTGTCTTTTCGTGAGCCCTTTTTGTTCCTGGGTTGGCTGGTGGTTTACGTGACTTTGTGGGATCTTGCTCCCACACACTGCAGGGATGAGGAGGGAGGGGACTGAGACTTCTGACATTTGATGTGAAGAATTGGCCTGACTTCTCCTACAGGGGACATATCTTTACTTAGTAGTAACTGAGCTTATAGTATTTCTATGAAATACTTTGTTAGTATACTAAGTACTAACTATAGTACATTTAAGGAAGTTAGTTCGCAAATAATATTTCCCTTTATAAATATATAAACATAAAAGCTATTCCCCTCCCCCCAAGGATGTAATCTTGCTCTAGGAGGTTTACTAAACAGTAAAAACTTGTAGCAAACAGGATTCACTTGTCTTCATTGTTATCTTCTTTAACATCCTTTTGCTTTAAATAGAAGCAGAAGTATTTTTGATTATCAAGAAAATACTTGTCTGCATTTGTGGATCCATCAGCCTCCAGATGGAAGAAGAGAAAGGAGAAAAACTGAAAATCTGTGTTGGTTCAGTGTGCACATGCTTCAGAGCTAACTAAGTACGGACAGTCTGGAAAAGAAACAGAAGGAGGGAAAACGTATAGGACAAAAGCTAGAATGAGTTCAGCATTATTTACTGGAGGGGGGGACTAGTGAAAGGTGCTAACTGAAAATGCTGTAAAAATATTCTGATTATACAGATCTGGTAGAAATTTTCTGCTTTTCCACTACATGTGGTAAAACTCTTTGATTTAAGAGCTTTAAACAGCTACCTTTTCAATTATGCTTGTAGTTTCGTGAATTAATTCTGCCCCAGCATATCTTTGCCTTCTGTGGCAGCTGCCTGCCTGCGCAGCATGGTGGGTGCAGTCCCCTCACTGGTCTTTGGTGCCTGTTCTGCCCTGAGCTTGGTGTGGGGAGCCCAGCAAATGCCTGCAGACCCCCTGATGCTGCTGGGCTCTTTCTGCTCACTAGTCGAGACAAAAGTAGTAGCTGCTGTGGGTGTAATCAGCACAGCCAAGTCTGCAGGTTGGTTTTGGAGTCTGGCCTGTGAATATCTTCTGTAATTAGTAGCTGCATTGATACTCTAGATCAAAATACAACAGGACTTTTAGCCAGTGATTCTTAATTGCTTGTTAGCTAATACAGGTGAAGAGGTTTTTTAACACTGATCCTTCTTCTCCAGCGCTACCAGCTGTAGTTTTCATCTTTCATTTGAGTAGATTTCAATTATTTCAATTTGTGCATATCTTTATGCACATAAAAATTTTTTGGTCGTAAAGACAGATTTATTGAGAGCCATATTGGACAGGTAGTAAGTTTTTAACTCCTCTGTATAGATTTGTTAAGGTTTTGGAAGGTCTTTTTAGTGTTCAGGGTGGGGTTTTTTTGGGGTTTTTTTTTTTTTTTTTTTCTTTTTCAGAAAATGCAGGGAAGTCTTAAAATTTTGAATAAAATATAGTGGCATAAAAAACCTTTTTTGTTCACCTCAATTATACAAGAGGTATATCACAAGCCATGATGTCAGTATCCCTGCTGCCATTTTCTTCATGTTCTGTTAAATATATTCCTTTCCTATGCACTTACTTGTATATTAAATTGATTAGGCCTAAAGTGCTACCCAGTACACAGAGGACCACATGTCTATTTGCTGTGCCTGTGAGGTAAAGGTATCATAATATTGCATCACTTAAGTAAGGCTGCTCTTTCTGCAGCCTCCAAGAAATCTCAGCCATGGGCAGTGTATAAGGTAGTGTCCGTGTTGTGCTACGCTGATATTTAGCATGCAGATGCAATGTGACATCTATTAGCTTTGTAGGGGTAAAATCTTAAATTATAAATAAATACTTATATTAAAATATGTATGTAATCTCTGTGTCCAAAACCAGGCAGTCCTGGTTGACTGTTAATGACAGTTTTACTTCTGTTGCTGGGGTAGGCAGGTCTCTGTTTTGGGAGCTGGGAAGAGTTTCCTCTGTTTGTAGTTTACATTGTTTAGTTTAGTCCATGTTTGTACATTGCCTCTGTACTTCAGGAAGGAGTGTTTTAATGAGCTGTGTTTGCCAAGGTAATAAAATCCTCCTGTTGGGGAAACAGCCTGGAAGCCAGCTTCGATGTTGTGTCAGAGACCAGCTTCATGCTGTCAGGTGGATGTAGGCCAGTGTTCTCTGCCCTCGAGTGTTGTGCAGATGCAGGACCACCTCCTGGCTGGCAAACGCACAGAAACAACTGCCAGCATGATGGGAAGAAAATACAAGGAAATACCCTAACTAGAGTCTTAAACCTCGTAAGACTGTGTCTAAAGGCATGCAGAAGGAATTTGCATTACCAGCAGAAGAAAATCTCATGTGAACACTTTGGGCTTCTAGTTTTCTAAAAGGATCTAGATGAAACATTGCACAGTGCGTTTCCAAGGCCTCCGGGCAATTACTTAGATATCAGAGTAAAGCTTATAACTGGGATATGGGGAGGATGAAAGGACAGACTTAAGAGCAAACTCAGTTTATGAAATTAAATGATTGCATAATAATCCTTTTGCATGAGATGAAATATCAATAAATGCAGTCAAGCCATGCATTATCTGTATATCCATGTTTTTAATTGTAATGTCATCTTCCTGTTGCCACATGTTCACCAGTTCTCTTGCTAAGGATGAGTTTTGAACAACTAATTGTGTTTATATAGCTTTCCATAAAAAGATGCAAATTTGTCATCTGAAGTTTGTAACTTGCCAGAAGGCTCCTTTTCCTTTAGGGAATATTTTGCTTTGACTGTTAATCATATCAAACCCGCTGCAAACAGCTAAGCACAAGGTGTTCTTGGAAAATCGGGGGGTTATTTTAAGAACAGTTTTCCCCCCACAAAGCTAAGCATCATGAAGAGATTTTTTTTTTTTTTCTTCAATGGCAATGGTTTTCAGCAGTAAAGCTTGAACTTGGTCCATCAGTGAAGCTTGAATCAGTATTTTGAGAAGCTTTTTTGGACTCTACTCCTAAACTCTGCTTCTCTTTTGGGGAAGTTATGAACTCTGTAACCTTTCATATGATGGTTGAGTGGATACAGAGAATGAGAACTCTCTCATGCATGAAGTTGGTCCTGTCAAAACACATGCATAACCATGGAGAAAAATGTCTTGAAGTTTAAGCTATTGTTGCCTCTCCTGTAAAACTGGGCAAGCCAGATGTCCAATTTGTTAACTTGGTTTCTGTATGAGCACTCAGCAGAATTGCTTTTTTAATAAAAACCATTGTTGTTGGTACTGGGCTGAGCTGTTAGGTAAGATCTGGACACTTGTTTGTCAAAACTGATTTGCACTAAATGCACTAAAGTCTTTTTTGTGAAAGTGAAGCTGAACTTGTTGGGAGCTACCAGGCGATCACTTCCCTGCCCTGTATGCTCAAGCTGAGGGGCTGTATGACCTGCAGCCCTCTGATCCAGAAATATCTCCTCTGAAGAACAACTGAAATCTTTTTTCCTTAAACATTCCTATCCTTGATTTCCAAACACTTGAGTGTGTCAACAGTGAAGACTTACTTTTGCCTATGATATGATGATGTTGGAGGAAAGTCCCTGTATACAAGAAAAGGCTGCATCTACTAGCTGTACTCAGTACACAGTTTAGAAAATTTTCCATATACTTCTGTTCTGGGCTGTATTAGTTACACAGGCACACACCTCCCTGCCTACTACTACATGAATTCAGATAGCCCTCAAAGTTGAATTTAGAAACCTTATTGTTTTGAATTGAGACCTAAAGCTGGCAGCCCAGCTTCTGAAATCTATTGATGGACTATGCTAAACTCTCCTTCTTTAGATGCTTTTCTCAGGAGATGAAAATTAGCAAGGATGTTTGTTTCAGAGGGGTGGTAACTGGCTAGTATGTTTTAACAAGCTGGAGCTTTGCAATTTTTAAGTCATGGTTTGATATAATCTTAAATGGTTGCCTTGGGCTTGATTGGCGTTCAGCTACAAGTGCCAGACGAAAGATGATCTTGACTTGGTTGAATTCAGGGAGCTGTGAAGATTGAGGGAGCTTATCAAGAGATTTCCATTTTGACTATGATCTTCTCACTGTATGGACAGTCCTGCTGTGTATAAGGACTCCAGTAACATCCATTTTAAATAGATGCTTTGCATTAGTCATGGTGGTTCTTCAGATGCTACACAACAGCATGTGTTTCCAAATTGAATGGAAAAAACTCACATCAGTGTGTCACACTGCTCAATGTACATTAGACAAGTAGATCTCGGGTGCGTACTGTTAGGCTAAATTACAGCAGGGACTCATTCAGCACAGTTGCTTTCTACTCATGCCTTTTGCTAATGACATTAAACGCCATTTGGTCTTAGCTGGGTGCATCTGGATTAACGTCAATGCATTCTCTTGTTATAGGAGCAGCTTACTGCCAGTTCATGGACATGTTGTTCCCAGGGTGCATTAGTTTGAAGAAAGTAAAGTTTCAAGCAAAGCTGGAGCATGAATACATTCACAACTTCAAACTTCTGCAAGCATCATTTAAAAGAATGAATGTGGATAAGGTAGGCATCCTACAATCACCCACTCTATTTCAGTCATTACAAGTTTCAAAAGTTGTGCAAACTGGGTAAAATAGGGGAAACAAACTTCAATACTTTCAGTCCACTTTTCAAATTTTGGACTGGGAACTGGAGTTACAAGTTGTATGTGAAGATGTTCTTGACCTTTTATCATCTGAAAATGGTATTTAGCCATGAAGGAAGAAATTTGGCATGCTCCATTTAAATACAAACTGAAAATTGAGTCCATGTGTCTGCTGAGGAATTGTGCAGCCTAACCTGTTATATCTTAATATCAGAGATCCTTTTAATAAAATACCATGTGTTAGAAATTCCTTACTATCAGTAAACCTTAATTTTAGATGTAGTAAAATTACTGGTGACCTGAATTTCTAACAAAATAACTTGGAAATATTCTATTCTAATTATTCCATGTTTCTTTTCTAAAACTAAGTTTAAGGAATTTAAATTATTCAAGAGCTGGGGTAATTTACCCAGTGATTCAGTAGGTTGGACAGCACATGTGAGCTTGTAAAGTTAAGAAGCCTCTTAGAAAACGGATTGTTCAACCATAAGGTATTGGCTTATGCTTGAATGAGAGTTTGATGGACTCACCAATATTAATTACTGTGTTGATCAAAATGAATAATGAAAGTTGTGTTGTCATATTTTTATTTTCACACTACCTGTATACCCTTTTAAAGGTCTGCTCTGGCATTTAGAGATGCCTTATTCTGAAATTTAAACAGTCTTAATAGAGAGTACTGTGAGACTTTTGTAAAGCACTGGAAAGCCCTCATTGTTTCCTGAAATGTTGTGAATGCTTCTACTTACAGTGTAATTTGTGAATTGGAAAGCTTAATAAAGTTAACATAATAAAGTTAACATTGTCAGTTATTCTGTAGGGAGCAAACTTACTATATCTTCTCAATGTAGAATTAAGATACAAATGGAACAACCTGAAAAGGCATGGAAAATGCTATATTAATCCTTGTAGGAGTATTGTAGACTTACAAAATGTTGTACAGTTGGCTTAACCTTGAGCAAAAAATTGAAATTGCAATGGTTTTACGTACCCTTTTTCCAGCTGAAAAAATGAATGCATTCAGGAGGCATTAAGATCCATCTAACTTGGCTCTTTAAGCAGCTGCATGAATTAAGCAAAGCAAGGCAACCTTCCTTCTGCAGTTGTAGTCCCTGTCTACCCACAGTGCCTGGGAAGCTTGGGCATTGTAATACTGCTCCAAGACACCTTTTGGAGATTTCATTTCTATGAAAAATTTGCAAGATATGGAGACATCCTTGTAGCTTTTCTTTTGTTTTAGTAAAACTTTATAGGCATTTTGGTCAGCTTCTGCATCTCCACAAAATGTTCTATGTATAGCTATATATGGAATGGAAAAAAATTACAAGGTTAAAACCTCAGGGTTAGTTCATATGATGAACATGTGCTACCAAAATGTAGGTTAGTTTGAACTCCAGCATATCTTGGAAAAGCTGCTGGATTTTTGTAATTCAAATAGTAGGACAGAGAGCAAGAAACTCCTGTCTGGATGTTTTGAAGAATTATTAGGTTTTAGTACGCCAAACTGTGGCATGTCTATGAAAAACAAAGATCCCTGGTTAGCAGAATACAGTTTTACTCCCAGAACAGCTTCATTCATGTGGGTGTCAATGCAGTAAGAAAGGAGTAGCTCTGTGGAAGAGCTGTTTAAAGGCTTACAGACGCCCATTGTATGGCCACCTCAACAGATGGGTCTTTGTTTTATTTTAGTTTTCTTTCTTACTAAGAGCACTTGCAAATCCACCATAATTCCCTCTTTTAGGATGGAAACAATGGCAGAGGAGTATTTCAAACAGGGGAAGTTCAGGTTAGATATAAGGACGAAGTTCTTTACAGTGAGGGTGGTGAGGCACTGGAATAACCCATGCCCAAGGAGGTTACGAATGCTCCAACCCTGGCAGTGTTCAAGGCTGGGTTGGACGGAGTCTTGGGTGACATGGCCTAGTGTGTGGTGTCCCTGCTCATGTCAGGGGGGATGGAACTAGATGATTTTAAAGTCCTTTCCAACCCAAACCATTCCATGATTCTACATACTGATACAGTTGGTGGATTTGGTCAAACAAGTGGCTATATGTAATTTTTATATTTAAAAATAGCAGTGATATATTATTGGAACCTTTACCTTTCAGGTAATTCCCGTGGAAAAATTGGTCAAAGGGCGCTTCCAAGACAACTTAGATTTCATTCAGTGGTTTAAGAAGTTCTTTGATGCTAACTATGATGGGAAGGAGTATGATCCTGTGGAAGCTCGACAAGGCCAAGACCCTCTTCCCCCACCAGATCCTGGTGAACAGATCTTCAACCTGCCCAAAAAGTCTCACCATGCAAATTCTCCGACTGCAGGTAATTTGCGTCTTAAAGAATTCTATTTCCGTCTCCGAAGACAATTACCCCCTGTGATACATTTTACATAAATACTAGTTCAAAATTATTTCCTCATGTGGGTGGGCTGCTTTTTTTGCCTTGGCTTAGGCTTAGCATCCGAGATGGCAGAAGTTAACTTCTTGTGGTGTGCTCTAGTTTGGCCCAGCCATATTGAGCATAGCGGCTCCTCCACTAAACCCTTGATGTAAGTGTTGTGGATTCCAAAGATGCCTGATAGTGGAGACAAATACATTTAACCTTCTTGTTGCTGAATGTGGTATGTGTAAGTGTATTCTAGATCATTAAATGGAGTATGTTCTTCCCTCACACCTCTATCCTTACAGGAAATTGCTAGCACAGGCTGATTTCTGTTTTTATTATTTATGGTGAGTGAGATGCTTCCGAATCTTAAAGGCTGACCAGAAGGAAAAAAAAATTGATTTGTGGTTTTATATGCTAATTGTTCAGGTATGTGAGCCCTCTTAAGTGAACATTATGCAACTATTGGTCTTTCTCAAAAATACCTCTGTTTTGCAAGTTTTTATTTTGTTTGTAGTGGCTTTTGCTAGGTTAGAGTTAGTCTTCACAACTTCAACTTTCCTGATTGTATGGTGCTATGTTTTGGAATTGTGACCAAAATAGTGTTGGTAAGACATGGATATTTCAGTTACTGCTTACATGGAGTCAAGGCCTTTTCTGCTTCTCACATTGCCTTGCCAGCGAGCAGGCTGGAGATGCACAAGAAGTTGGGAGGGGACACAGCTGGGAAAGCTTTCCCCAACTGCCCAAAAGGATATCCCATACCATATAATGTCATGGCCAGCAATAAAAGCTGGGGGAAGGAGGAGGAAGCAGGGCGAGGGCATTCAAAGTGGTAGTATTGGTCTTCCCAAGTAACTATTACATGTGATGGAGGCCTGCTTTCCTGGAGATGGCCTGCCAATGGGAAGTGGTGAATTAATTCATTATCTAGCTTTGCTTGTGTGCACAGCTTTTCCTTTACATCTTAAACTGTCTTTAACCCAACCAGTAAATTTTCTCACTTTTACCCTTCTCATTTTCTCTACCGTCCTACCCAGGGACAGTGAGCGAGTGGCTCCGGGGGGCTCAGCTGTATACTGGGGTTTAACCACAACAGTGTTTCTGGAACAGGCCAAAGGACTAAGCCTGATCTCTGGTGTTAGTGTACTATGGGCATGACTGGTGACTAAGCAGATGCCATTTTTTGATAACTGAGTTAAGTGAACAGGAGAACAGCTAACATTTTTCTAATAGAATAATCACCAAAGACTTGTTACTGGGATCGGTTGCCTGTATGCATATAGGTTCGTGCATACAGAAACACAAACTTAATACCTTGAATGATTTGTTCTGGGTTTACTTTCGTGCTAACGCATTCCGCAAGTAAGGATTAATTTTCAGTTGACTTAAATCTGTGACCTGACTTCTCATGGGCTCAGATATGCAACAGAGCTGGCAAAGGGTATGAGGTAGGTATGAGGCACCCTTAGTTTTAGGCTGGCTTATGCTCTGGAATCATACCCAGATTTCAGCATTCTGCTCTGGTTGCTTCTAATGTCAAAGTAGGGCATACTTGGCCAGCTGCCTTCAGCTCATTAGTGCTTCCAGGAAATTGAGCACCTAATAGCAGGTCAGTGCTGCTCTGGGATTCTAAAGCTTGTTTACATCTTTGGTTTGCACCATCTTGTGTCTGAACTTTTGACTTTCAGGGCCTGGCATGCTATAATTTCCCATGTGATGTCTTGCACTCCCTTTGAAAACAGAAAAACCCAAGTGCTAATGTCATGATTGTGAAATTGGGAAGGACGCTCTTATTAGTTACAGACTTTACCATGCTTGTTCATTTTCCTTGAGCATGGTCTGTTTTTACCAACGTCACAAATGTGTCATCCAAATTAAAGCTGTGAAGGTGACAATCCTAGGGAAATAGAATAGCTACTGGAGTGGAACAAGCCAACTGATGTGGAGGATAATGCAGTGATCTCATGTTGTGTTGCTGGTGTATTAAGAGCATGTCTTGTGCCTTTCCCATCAATTGAGATAGTGTGATGAGTTTTGTTAAAATCCTGTGGCTGTGAGACTTAGCTATTTTATGGAAAAGTTCTTCGCTATTAAGTATTGTCCAAAAGTATGAGAGGCAGGGTGCTAGTATAGTATCTGTTGAGCTGAGGAGAGTGTGTATAGTCATTATGTGATGCTAGGTGAAATAAGAGTTCTAGCTTTTGTTGCTGCTTCATTTTAGAACAGAACTATTTCTGTTAGGTGTCATTCATAGGTTTATTCAATTTCTGGGTGCGCACGTTTTCATTTCACTGATGCCTTTGTGCCACACCTCACCACACCATGTAGCCTGGTTACTTGAAAGGATGGGAGCCCTTGATGGCTGCCTGTTGATAGAGGTCATTCTGGGAGGAGTGCAGTATGCATCTGCAGGCTGCGTGTGCCTCATCTCCTGCCATTTGGGAGTAAATTGAGATGATGTGGAAGCAAGTCCTGGGTGGCTGGGAAGTTGCCATGAAAGATGTGCTTCTGTACTTCTGTTTTGTGCACTTGCACAATTAGCTGGAAATGAAGATGTATTCATTACTGTTGTTATAGAAACCATAATATGCCCATGTGAGCAAAGCAAGTTTAGTGATTTATAGAAAAATGGCAAAAAAGAGGTCTCGTCAGTTCTTCTGCAGCACGTTAAGACTTCCTCACCCCATCTGGAGCTTTGTTCTCCTTGATGATACAAGCTCAAAGAGGGAATACCTACCCATGAATAAGTACAGCATCAGGTGGCATAATTTAAACTGATATCTATGACTTTTATGTTGACTATACAAATAACTTACGTTTTGTTTATACCTGACTTCTATGTTTATGTTTTGTTGTTCTACTTTCCTGGCTCTTCAGTGAAATGGCTGAGGTTTTGGCCATGGCTGTGCTTCCGCTGACTTTTTTTGTGGAAGCAGTAAACCTTCTGGGCTGCTCGATGCAATAACCACTAGTGCAGCAAGCACTTGCCAGCTTCTGTAGCAGTTTGCCACAGTAGCTTGCCTCTCTTTTTGTATATTTTCTTTTTTTTATGTCATTTTTAATTTGTTCAATTTGCTTTATATTAACAGTGAAGCTCTGAAATCTTGTACTGCCTTGTTTCTGTTCATTAGCAGGACAAAAAGAAGCAACAGTGAGAGAAAATAAAGAACCCAGAAGATCTTTCAATGTAATCCAAAAGTTTTTAAACAATGTGCAGTGGACATAGCTCAGTGTATGCATCTACTGTTTAGTGTCAGGAGCAAGCAGACATGGGTACTCGTTCACACTCTATTTTTTGGTTTTGACAGACTTTTAAGTATGCCTGTTCTAAATTGATCGAGTATATAAATTTCTAAATAATTAATTTGTTTAGCTATTAGTAATTTCATACACATTTCAGATGATTCCTGTTGTTCCACAGAATAATTCTTCCAGTGCAGTTTGCCAAAGTTTTGTTTCCAAGTGACTTAGGAGGTGCTGAACTCTTTAATTATTCATAACTGCTTCATAGCACTCTGTTCTAACACTGTATTTTCAGAGGTAGACTAAGCTTTGTCTCCTAATAACAAGAAAGTATCAAATCCTTAAGGACTGCACTGCAAGCTTAACCAAAAGTGTACTGGCATGAATTAGAACCATTTTTTTTTTTAGTTTAATCTGACAAACAAAATTGGACAAGACCCATAGTTTCATGTAGCTGCTTTCCTTGCCTATGCATGGCTATTTACATGTATCTCTGCAAATGAAGAGTGTGACCTTTATTTTATTTTTAGAATTTTCTTAAAACAACCCAAACCTTGAGGCATCTGAAAACGCACTGGGTTTTGTGCTAATCGGGGAGCAGGCCAGCAGCCACGGCCCTACTCCTTCCAAGGGCGATCCAACTGAGGAGTCAGCACAGGTCAAGGATAATGCAGCTTGGAAATGGAAGCACAAATGGGTCCTTACAACTAATCTGCTGTTCCACCCTCACGTTGCCTCATCCCTTCCTTGAGAGACAGAGCCGATTTGTTGCCGAGCTGACAGGGGTACAGCGGGTGGATGGCTTTGGTGGCACAGGTAAAAGGCTGCTACTAGGAAAAATAGGAGCAGCAAGGATTTGCCAGGTAAATCCAGCTCCCAGCTCTGGGGGAATGAGTATGTTCTCATCCTTCGAGGAGTAGAGCCAGCACCATAGACCACCGCTGCAGGCCCTCTGCCAGCAGCACCACAGCTGCTTTTATATAGAACACCATCTGCTAGCCTGAGCCAGCTTTCGATCTTCTACAGCCTCTGCACTGCTCTAATGCAGTGGTAAACAGCCTGCAGATGCCGCGTCAAAACTGAGTTAAAATTACTGTAAGGGATTAAAATATTAGGGCACTGTTATCTAATGCTCCCTGTGGAAAATAGCAGGAAAAGCTTCATCTGATCAAATTGAAAATGGTGATCAGGTTGTGAGGATTTTAGCTTAGTGTCTTATGTAAGTGCTCCTGTATGTCAGAGCAAATCTCCATGGAATGCTGTTCTGTGTATGGGTGTGAGGTGTCAAAAATACATGGGTAAAAGACAGCTTAATAAAATTAATTATTTACACATAGGCTAAAAATTGCAAGAGGCTCTAAGATCTGAAGGCTGTTAGATGTTGTAGTTTGAAATATTCAGTGAGAGCAGGATGACTAAAGCAGAGCTGGAAAATACTGGAGGATCACATGAGGGCTAAAAATACTCGTGCTATGACAGGGAAAATAACCAGGGCAGAATGAACTGTTTGTGCATGAATGCTTTATATATAATATGCCATTGAAGAGCCAGTTGCACAGAAAAATACTGATTTTCTTTAGGGAAATGGTATATCCTACTGTGGCAGATGTGCTGTAAATTAATTTTGAGGGATAAAACTACTCCACAAATCCAATCTTTATTTCAACAGCTAGTGATCAGTTAGGACTCCTGGG